TATATATAAGTAATTAATTAAGTGAGAGCAAATGCTTTTAATGCCAAAGTGTTAGAAATTAAGTCCAAACATGGGAGTTTCTTTAACATAATGGGAAAACTCATTATTTGTATGTCAGCCTCTACAGGAAATGACATCACATGTTTTACAGCCTGAATAATGGGATTTTCTTGTCCCTTTTGTTAGTCAGTGGAGCAAAAGAAAGTATCATGTGACTCTCCTGGCACAAATAATCCAACTTCAAGGCTGAAACTCAAACAGACTCAGAAATATAACATAGAACATTGTATTCTAACAAACTTTGTAACTTACTGAATTCTTTTTCCAGTCATTTTTTTTTAAAACGTTGAGTTAGAATGCTAAAAGAAAAACCCAGCAGTGAAACTATCTGCCCAGGACACACCCACATCTGAAAATCTTACTTCCCTTCATAAGGTGAAGGCCTGTAAGCGTAAACTTTAACTTAGAGACAGCTTTGAGTGATTGTAACATGTAACTTTGGACCTGAATGAGAGTAACCATGCAACAGGCTGCTGCAGTGTTTACTCATTCAGTGCCGGACCTGAGCTGAGTCATCCGTTCCTCTTGCTCACAGTGAGGCAGTGATGTGTTCCCCCCTTTGGCCTGGGCTTGCCTTGAAAAAGTGTGTTAAAAATCCAAGGGCTTGCATGTGAAACCTTAATTTACTGTTTTTAGTTTTTATTGTTTTATTTCCTAGCTTATCTCCACATTTTCCTGGAACACTTTTGAATTCCCCCCTGTCTTTTTCCTTTGTCTTTGTTCCCATTTTGTCTTTTGTGATTAAATGTGCCTGTTTGGCTTTCACTGTACTTGCCTCAGTGGTTCTGACTTGCTTGCTAACATTCTTACAATTGTTTCTTTGACAACTTCCTGGTTGAAAATGACAACATATTACTGGTTTTCTAAGTGGTAAGGCAACCATATAGACAGTGACTTGCAATGTATTTCACTGTCTAATCAGTTATATGTCTTCCAGTTATTATGTTAGCTATAAAGGTAACAACTGATTCAAAGTTTTAATTACTAACTTTTGGTTGTAACCCCAGGAAGAATTACCTGGCTTGTTCTTAGGGTTCTAAGAATAACTCAGAGTAATAGCAATGTATGCTCCTTCTTCTTTTATTGTACTTCTATATTTTACATAGTGTCGACGCATCCTTTTTAGTTCTTAAGAAGTAAAAAGCTTCTTAAGCTTTTTACTTGAGTATATATACATGAGTTTTATATACTCATGTATATAAAATTAAGGCCTTAATATGTCTTAAATTCATTTTAAAAATACAGTAATCACAGGTCTTAAATCTTTCATATTCTATATAGTTTATTTTTGGCAAACGTTTGAGTTGCACGCAGACATATTTCCATTCTGTGATTTGAGGCTACAGCTAACTAGCTACTAATATACCCTTGCTAGCTAGCAAGCTTTTTTGCATCTTGGTGTAAATTTAATGCCACTTGGCTGAGCGGCGTTTGCCTTGGCCACTGGCTCTCTTCTGTTACTAACCATACGATGCTACATGAATTCTGTTTAAAGAGAAACAGCTTGGCACTGCTACTAAAATATGTTTTATTTTATACATTTTTGTCATGAAGCAGGTTTTAAATTTCATCCATAACGGCATTAAGACGTTTTTTTAATAGCCTTAAATTTTAGTAAGGCTTTTAGTAACACCACAGGGTGTTTTGCTATAAAAATACATTTTCCTAATAGAAAGTAGGAAAATAGAAACTGGTAGGTTTCTGTTTAAACCTGCCAGAAACTAAGCCAGTCAGCATAATTTTGACCTTACAACAGTCAACACACACACTTAAAAGTGATATAGAATCAAAGTACATATTTGTAAGAATTATATGCACATGACTTTATTCTATATAGTTCTCTTGTTTTGTTTGTTTGATTGCAACAGATAAAGGGCAACTGTCTGCAGGCCGTAACTTGTTGCTCAATTTATTACCCTAAGCAAGCCTGTTCAGCATTTTTCCTGTGAGTGGAACCAGCAGGGCTTTTCTCCCAAACAGGAAAAAAAAAAAAAACATTTGCAGGCATTTAAAGAGAAATCTTTTCCGTGACTTCACTTTTCTCCTGCTCCTTCCCTGCTAGCTTGTGCGGAGCATGTTCAAACATGCCTTAAAGCTACTTTTGCTTGTTTCTGAAGCATTTACTTTTCAATGGATATTTGATGTGTATTTTAACTTCTAAGCATTTATATTTTTTTTATTGGGTGAAAGCTAAACCTGTAGTTATTACAACCCTTATAGAAAAGAAGGCACATGGTTTTTACACAACAGAAGGACTTAAGACTTAAAATCGTTTTGTAGTTTAGAAGATTCATCTGCAGGATTGGTAAACCTGTCTAAAAGAAAGCAGCAGAATGAAGTGTGTACTTTAAATGTTTATTTTGAACAAATAAAATATCAGAAAATATAAGAAAACAAAAAAAAATGATATATCATGATCACAATTATATATAAAAACAAAAACAAGACTTTGATATCAGATTCAAAATGGAGAAAATGAAGCTTATTAAATCTCACCCTCACTTGTCTCATCCAAATATGTTTCACATTATACATATTTACACATCTAATTTTACTCATGTCACAATATCTGCTCTTGAGCTGTTTGGGGGGCGGGGGGAAACAACTCAAAAGGTCTTTTTAGCACATTATCAAAGCAGGCAAAGCATCAATGGGTTTCAGGGATTTTGGCTGAGAAACGTTAGCTTCACTGCATGGTTCCTTTGGCAGCCTCCCATCCAGATCTTCAGTTTTTCCCTCTATAATCAGAAGGTGGGATTCTGGATGTGGGCCAAAGAAGTGAGCAAAAGTTAAGTCTAAATCTTCTGATTAAAAAAAATAAATCTTCTGGCAGTGTGTCTAATAGCTTATTAGGGTTTACATTTTAATTAGAGCACATATAGAAACCCCTGAAATCTTTGTTTACTGTGTTGTTGTTGTTTTTTTTAACAGACTTGACAAAATACAACATCCACCAATTTCACTGTAGGTTTCTAGAGAAAATGTACCAGATGTCGCTGAGAAAACAACATAGAACCACAAACTATTGGGCTTTTCTCTCTCTCTCTCTCTCTCTCTCTGCAGGTCATTGCCATAGTGATGGACATGCTCACAGACATCCACATCCTGCAGGATCTGATGGATGCTGCTTGCCGTCGGTCTGTGCCTGTTTACATTGTGTTGGATGACCAAGCTGTTCCTCACTTCCTGGACATGTGTTCCAGGCTTCAGATTGGCTCGCAGCACCTCCGGGTTAGTCAGCACTTTTACATAGGCATCATTTGAAGTAAAAAACAAAACAAAAAAGTGCCATCAAAGAAGAAAAAAATTGAAGTTTTGACTGATTTTTATCGAAATTCAACTTAATTTTGAAACGTGAAAGTGATGAGCTTAAATCAAACTTACCAAGGCGTTTGTTGATGTCATTACCAATACTAGGTGAACTTTCTGAGGAAATTAGGTGACTTAATTAAATGGTCAGAAATGCTTCTGTGCTGCCGAGAATTCATAAGCACTACTTTTGGTGGCCACAAGAGGCCGCTAATTGCACGCAACGGCAGACTAGAGTCATAACATTGTGTAAGAAAAAAGTGGAAAAGTGAGATTCTCAATAGGATGAGTGAGACGGGCATCTAGATTTAACTGTGAGAGCATCGAGAGGACAGAAGGAGAAAAACAAAACAGAAAAAGAAACTGAATCTGTCTGTCGTACTGCTGCAAACTGAAACTAAAAGCTTAGTTTCATTCAAATGTTTTATTACATATTTGAACAATAGCAACAATTTTTTTTGTCACCAAAAATCCAGAAAAATAACTTTGTTTTTTTTCTCAAATGCAGAATAAACAAAGCATTCATATTTACCAGATTAGGCTAAAATCAAATTCTGTGTGAAACTACATGAAAGTCCTGTGGGGATACATTTCAAGGAGCCAAACCCAAAGAGCTGAATCTTTCATCCTTTTTGTTAATCTTTAACAAGTAAAATAAGGCCTACGTAAAAAACGTAAAGGAAATGGTAAAAGACTGAAGAAATCAATGCATCACTCAAATGAATGTTTTGTTATTTTATTATGAATGATGCTTTATATTGTTCTTACTAAATCTCCAGTGGTGTTTGCAGTTTGATTTTGTTCTGAACTCTGGTTTAAAACATCTCACATGTTGTCTGTGTTATTTCCTGATCTTACCATCTCTTAACTTGTTGCAGTTCATCCGAGCAAGATCGCTTCAAGGAGTTGGCTTCAGTATGTCCTTTGGTAAACTCCCTGGTTCGCTTTTTAGTAAATACATGCTGGTGGATGGAGACAAAGTTGCCTTTGGCTCTTACAGGTAAAAGTGTTTGTTTTATATCACACAATAAAAGAAGTATAAGAAGTGCAGGCTAAAGAAAGGCAGTCAGATTTAGATTTCTTTATACTTTTTATTCATTGCATCCTCTATAAACCAAAAATTGACGATGAAACAAAATCATTTTGTTCAATGTATTTCAAATGTCTAAATACTTATCCTGAAATGTATTCCCAATACAAGTTAGGGCAATAAAATGTTTGTGAAGATTTTACAAATGGCAAACTCTATTTTAACAAATTCTTGTTACTTGGTGTAGAGTAATTCTTAATCTGGATGCAAAAGCAGCATTATTAAATTCCCATTTTTGTTTATTTTTTTTAATTTTTTTTAACCAATGACGTACGTTTCAAACCTCTCAAAATGTGCTTCAAAGAATCTCCACTGAGAACAGAAATCAAATTGGATCAGTCAAAGTAGTTTAGATTTTGAAGTCGAGGTAATAAAAGTACAGTCTTGATTCATTCCAGCTTTAGCATTGTTAATAGTTAACTAAAGCTGGTATACCTGCCTTGTTAATGTGTCCAAAACAAACAAATCATTTCAAGGTGACGGACGTTTCTTCTATGTTATTTATTAATGTCTTTTCATCAGCGTCAATGAGCAATTGACTGTCAACAAAACAAGGCGAGGCAGATCGAAAATCTTTTATTGTTTCAAAAGGAGACCCAAAGGGTGCCAGCATAAAGCAGCTTTTTTCAGACAGAATTAATAACATTAGCTCACATTGCACCACCTAATTATTATTATTATTTTTTTTTAAACTATTTTGTAAGGTTTAATATGCCATGGTATCTCTTTACAACCTTCATGACTACCAATCTGCTCTCGCATTGTAGATTTTAGACGTTAGGAAAATAGTTGTTACTATTAAAACAACATCTTACTTGGTGCCAAAGTCACCAAACTGTAAAGTGTTTCTCACTTTGTTGCCTCTTGTTACTCTTAGGGTTTTAGGTAAAATAAAGTCTTCTATCAGTTTAAAATGTTATGGTTCAATCCAAAATCCTCTACCTGTCAAAGTGTCCATGTCCAACACCAGGAAACCTCACTGTGTGCCACATGTGGTCACTGTAGATAAAAAGCTGCATATTGTTATACAATATAAAAAAAAACAATACCAATGCTTAGTCCCATTAAACTTAACATTACCTAGTTAAAGCAACAGAGATGATGAAGAGCATTGACGATTGTCTTTATTCTTATCTCGGTTCCAGTTTCTCTTGGTCTGCTTCCCGAATGGACCGAAACATGATCACTGTGATGACGGGGCAGGTGGTGGATGCCTTTGACAGAGACTTCCGTGAGCTGTACGCCATATCCGAGAAGTTGGACCTCTACAAGGAGTTCCACGTCAGTCCCCCTGCTGCTAACGTCACCGCCACTATTCGCTCCAAATTGGAGCCCAAACGCCCTCCGTTACCGGCGACCACATCCCGTTTCCAGGTCAGCCTCGGAGACTCTCGGAATGTTGAAATCCAGGTTCCTGCCCACAAATACTACAATCCCAAATACTCGCTGCTGTTCGGAGGTTCTGCACTTCCTGCAAGATCTCTGCATGACGAAAGACCAAAGCCGGGTCTCGCAGATCTTCATGAAGAGGAGGGAAGGCCTCGAGTGGCCAGCAGTCTTAAGCTAGATCCTCAGAGTCCGTTGTCCTCAGAGGCCCCAAGTGAGAACTTCAAGACGTCAAACAAAGTATCTCTGGGGAAAAAGAGAGGCTTTACTTGGAAGTTGCCGAGAAAAAAATCTCAGAGTAAGCTTTCTGTTAAAAATATAGGAAGTGCTTCACCGACAGAGACTCATCCCAATGAATTGGAAGACGGTGCCACGGTGGTTGTGGTAACCCCGACCAAAGGGAGTAAGAAGCTTTCTAAACTGGACCAAAGAACGCTGTCTCAGCAAACTGTCACCACGTCACATGACAAAGAAAGTAAGTGCCTAATGTAACAAAATCTTCTTCTGTCCCTTCACAAAACCCTTCGGTGAAGGGACAGGACTATATACCTGTAGCCATAAAGTATGAATGTAAGAAGGTTTGGTTCAATTTTTAGCCTCCTTTCACAACCAAACATTGCCATTTTATACTACCATTCATTAATTTTAAACAAATTCCTGCTTTTTTTACTTAAAACATCATGTGAGTTCTTTTTTTTTTTTTTACTGATAAACGGTCATAAAATGCTAATATTATCCTCTGTACCTATTTATTTATTTAATATAATCAGTCAAACCTTTTATCAAACCAAAGTCACTCCCAAGTCTCCATATGCTGGTGCATATTTCATGAAGACATGCAACCAATTTTCTTCTTTTTTTTTTATTTAAATATAGAAGATTGTTAAGTTATTGGTTGTCAATGCCGTTATGATCCTCCTAAAAGGTATGAACTGCCATGTTTTTGGCATAAAATCGTCGAAGATTTTACAACAGTATTTTGTACTTTCTGCTTGGTCGTTTCTTACCCAGGAAAAATCTGGTGTTTCACCAAAACATTGCAAACATACCAAAATGGCAACAGGCAGAATGATTTCACTGCTATGCAAATCAAAAACAGAATAGAAGTACGCAGAAAAGCACCACAAAAACGCATGTAAAACTGGAGTACTTCTCTCTCTGTTTGCATGAAAATAGTTCACTGGCTTTTATTGTTTGTTTTCATTTAATATTGAAGTGTTTATCTCACTGATGTTTTAAATGATCTTTTTTTCCTTCTTTCCACAGGTTTGAAGAGTCGTCGTCATGGAAAATCAGGATGTAAAATATCCTAAGCTGAACTTGTTTGACACTTTTAATAGTGTACAGTTACATGATCTTAAAACAGATGAGGAAATGACTTTAATGAAGATGGTGTGGCACACTGCAGCGTTATGCACGTTTGAATGAAGACCAGATGAATGTCCAGTCCTTCAGGTTTTTATCTACTGGTTTCACATCTGGAGCCTAATGTACCATGAGGCTGATCTGGCAGAATCTCTGGAATCACATATTTGTGTTGAGGCCTTTTTAACCCATCTTGTTATTGGACTGGGTTTGTTTTTTATTTTTATTTTTTCTTGCAAACATGGGTGAAGTTTTTAAAGTTGTTCAGGGAATGTATTTATGTGTCACACTTGTTTATCTAAATTGCAAAGTAAGAAAAACCACATTTATTCCTAGAGAAATATTGTTTGGTTTCAGATTTAAATTAGTTGCGATGAGTTGCATCTTAAAATGTTTTTTCAAACCTATTCAGCCACGCTGACTCTTCCAAATATATCGAGCATATATTTCTATGATGAATCCTGGTTTGCAAAACAGTTTATACACTACTGATATTGCAGCCAACAGACTACAGATTAGATTTGTATTTATTGAATCCGGTCATTTTTACTTTTGTTTTTGCCCACATATATGATTATGTACTGAACGATGACTCCACCACACTTCTGCCCATGTGTGTTGCCTTTCTTTGCCGTTTGTAGATAGACGACGTTAAGAAAATAGAATTGGTATCTGCTCAACTGACACATTAACTTTCCTAACAATGGGAAATAATTTAAAGTAGAGGTGTTTAAAGAGACATAGACATGCTTTTTAATGCTGAAGATGAGCTACTCTTGAGTTACTACAAACAGTGTGTGAAGTTTAACGGTTAACTGCTCTTATTTATAATAGCAACCATTCAGAAGTCCAACTATAGCGTAAAGGATATGTTTCAAGATTAATTTGACATTTTTATCCAGAATCCTCTGTCTTCTTTTCAGCAGCATGATCAGCCTCTGGTATTTGTCTTGACTCCGGATGGCGCTACATAAAAAAAAAGTTCCCTTTTATTTGAAGTAGGCAGCCCTCATTTGCATGGTGTGTGTTTACAGTGTGTGAAAGTTCATGGTAGCATTCATGTTTTTTCTTTTTCTTTTTTTTATCAGAGAATTGCTTACCATCAGATTACTCTCATCTTGGTGACAGGAAGATGCGATACAGCAGCAGATGTCAGTTGATAGAAAAGCGTGTAAAGATATACACCAGCACAACAACATGGTTGGTTTTATTTCTGTGCACTTGAAATAAAACCACTCCATTAAGTTGTACTAAACTTAAAAATTATATACTGTGATTACCTTTAGCAGACTTTTAACTGTTTTTGCACCATTTCGCACAAGTAACTTTGAACCTTTTTGATTTTTGTGTTACATTTTGATTCACTCAGAGTAGAAAACAAGAGATCCTCACTTAAATCAACAGACACTGTTACCCATTTAGTGGCATGTTGGGTTGTTGGATATAGACAAAGGTTTGATGTCTATCATTTATTGTTTTTGTGGGTTTCAATAAATCCGTTATCCACCGAGTCTATTTAATGCACTAATTAATTTAAATGTTTTGTTCTTTATCTTGTTTTACATTTGAATTTTTCATGGATTCTTGACTGAAAGTTTTCCATTTGATTCAGTTTATTTCTTTAGTGCCAATTCACAACAAAGGTCGTCACAAGGTAGTTTGCAAAAAAATCATTTCAATTCAGTCAGATTCCAATTGATCCCAGTTATCAAACAGTAAATTATGCTCAATTAATTATTCAAAGTTAGTTTAAAACATTTTTGGTGTCTTGTCATCTGCCTGCAAAAACTTACCGCCCTTCATTGTGGCAGAAGATTCAAAAACCATCCAGTCAGACTCGTATGCTTGTTGAAACACAACTGCCCTGTTTAATAGTTTTGTGCTTCAGCTTTGACAAGTTATTTAACAGAAAAGAAACCATTAACACGCTGTTTTTGTTAACATTTCACCATAAACCACAGCAAAACCAAATGCATGACTTGCATTTCATAAACTGACCACTACACGCTGCTAAGCAGTCGCCCAAAGCTCAAAGGGGAACCAGTGCTCTGATGGGAACTGCTCACCGAGCTGTGGATGAAGGCGGGGCAGGGGGGGCGGCAGGCTGTGGTGAAATACTGAAACAGGAAGTTTGAGGTGCAACAGGAAGAGACGTTCTCACAATAATTCACCGGCTAATTTTACTGACACACCAGCAGGCACGAGAATGTGTTATTTCCTGTGAAACATGCATGTTTATCATGCAACACTGCATGCAAGTTTTTCTTAAGCAGAAGCAGGACACCGATCAACTCAAACGCCACGGCTAGCTGCTTGATAAGTGGAAGATTACAGCAACCTAATTATATGAATGTTTTGTTGTAGGTAATGGTGTTTGCCATTGGAAGAATTTTTGTAAAGTGTTTGCAATGAAGTACTTAGTGTCGATAAATTCAGAAACATGACACAAGACCTTCAAAACACTGTTAGCATAGTTTTAGCTGCCATGTTCTGTTCAAAACACACAAATTTGAGCTTCATAATTCATACATCATGCTTGTATGCTTTGAAAACCTCACAGTTTAACCACGGAGGTCAACAAGGTCATACACTCATGCGAAGAAACCATTTCGGCTCACATGAAAACGGCAAACAATGAGGAAGTTTAGATGGAATTAGAGAGCATTCAACTGAAAACGCAGCTGTCGACTGGCTATTCCTGAACTTTAAAAGAAAAGAGAAGAATTCAGTTTGGTTTCTATTACATGAATATTTTTAATTCAACAATGAATTCACCGGAACACCAAAAAGACCCATAAAACAATACTGTAGTTACAAAGTTAAAGTGTAGAAGGCATAATGTACATTTTGATAGGCAACACAATACAGCTTGGAATGAAACATTTGAGTGGTAACATCTATTGCACAACCTTTTGACGTTTTTTTTCTTTAACAATTACATACATTATAAAGTACAGACCAAAATAAGATCATTACTCAAACTCATTTACAATTTTCACAAGATTTCTGTGTAAACTGGCCTATTTTACAGGTGAAACTCTTCAGTTGACTCTGTCAGACTAAAGATAAAGGCTGGGTATGGCTTTGAGTGTCAGAGCTGTATGAGAGCTGTGAGAAAGCAGACACGGAGATGTTTTTATTGTATTCATGATAAGATATGACATGTTCTATTCCTCTCTGGGTTGTGAAACTAAATCACATAAAGACAATCCCACAATGGTAGCTCTCTCAACTGCAAGTATCTGACTTCTGTAACAACAACAACAAAAAAGCTAAAGACATTTTTGTTTTGACTAAAAATCTTGTTGCAAAGTTCCAGAGGAGCCCTTGAGGGATTCCCTTTGGTCTGTCACACTAATACTGACTCGTTTGATTTCGTTTTCACCTTTTGGCAAAGTCTTTACTCGGTTTATGAAAAGAGAAGTTCCCAATGTCAGTGTGGTTTTGTTCATCTTCACGCGCCCCTTGTGTCCGCACGTGGCGACGAGGTAATTCCAGGCAGCCTTGAACGAAGGCCGATGCAAAACCGGCGCAGCGGCGTCAGCGTGGAAGTTTTGGAGACGCCCGCGGCGCTCAGTCCTGAGGAGTTTGGTTTATCACCTTCTTCTTCCTGACTGAGACCAGGTCGTAGAACGGATCCTTGGTGATACTCGCCCTGTTTCCAGTAAAGATGGTTGACGTTAGTCGTTTGTGGATTTACATTTGTTAGACCTTTTGTAGACTAAATCATCCGCCATAACTTTAATGTCCTCAACAGAGACATGCTCAAAGAGAATTTCCAATTCCCCCTCAGAATATATTCTGAGTTGACTGATTAGGATTAGCTTGGGGTGAAGAACATCTCCACAGGTTCAAGTATGTGAAACTGCTTGGTGTGTTTGCTGTCTGACCTGATGGCTTCAATCCAGGAGTCTCTCTCTTCAGCGCTGGAGGCACAAATGGTGTAGGACTGATGTTTTCCCTCCACCACCCTGCCGTCCGTCTCCGTTTTACACGCTTTGATTTTCTGCCCGTGACTGTTGGGGTTGTACAGCTCCAGACAGTACTACGTGACAATACGATTCGGACATTAGAGTTAATCCAATATAAACAATGAAATGTTGTTTTTTTAAACTAAAAAAATAACTCAAAGAAGTCCTCCTTTCAGTTTCAGACAGCTTTGAGTAGCTTTTTAAAACGAGGACGTGTTGAACATCTTTCTGAATCTTACCGGTTTGCGAGGGTACGGCACTTCCCTCACGCTCAGATTTTCTAGTGGAATGATACCTCTGGGTTCTTTATCCTGAAAAATAAAACATTTTGAAGAGACAGATTACATTAGGCTATATTTTATAAGAAGAAAAAGAAGAGAAAAATGTCATCTGAATAAACTGTAATATATAGTTAAAGGAAACACGCTGTGCTTTTAAGGTTGAAAAACACATCACATTTGAATATTTAAACTGTTTAGTTTGTACTTTTTTTATTTTAAGCTCTCAGGGTTTGTTCATTTAAAAGTTTTTCATAAATTAGGGTATGTCTGGGATACGGTTGAATCCTTACTGTTGTATACTCGAAGTAGTAGAGGCAGTTGTCTGTCAGGATAAACCATCGCCTTTTCCACGTTTTAACACGACCTCCTGAAATACAAAGACGCAGCAGAAGTTAAACCTATTTTCATATTTGCTGTCGGTTATTATCGGACACTGGCTTGTTCAAAATCCCCTCGCTAAAAACAAAAACTCCTGAGGTTGTTTGCGCCAATTTTAAGCCTTGTGCAACCAGCCCTTTATGTTTCCAAGCAAACAGCCCAAGTTGAGTTATTCTCGAAAGACTTCCTCTGTACTTTCCTGCATTCATTCGGTACATGCTAGATTGGTTAGAGTTTTGTTAATTTAATAAACTAGCCATGTTAATACAAAAACAATGTAAAACAGGGACTTGCCGAGTTTAAGGAGCCAGCCTTCTCTGTCAGGGTTGAAAAACGTGTGAGTCAGGTCATTTCCGTCATCCTCTGGGATTTTGAAAGGCTCGTTGCGTATGCTCTCGTAGAGTTTCTAAGAGCACAAGAGTTACACGCTTGAAATCAATAGTGGCACAATTGCTCCTGTGGGCTAACCCGTCATTAGCAAGGCTGGTTAGTATAATGAACTCAATGAAAATTAGCCAACGCCTTCAAAACTCACTGCCTCCAAAAAACTAAAGAGTAAGATTCAATCTAAATACATTAAATTCATTTTATGTCATTTTATTATCATGGCTGAAATGAGCTGAAGGGTCTTACGGAGAGAAGGTCGTTGGGCAGATCCTCGCCGTTGTTGATCCCTCTGTTCATGGAGATGAATCGCTCCAGGGTGGTTTTGTCCTTCACGTTGGGGTTGTGGAGGCTCGTGTTCAACATGATGATGGCAAACGACAGGATGTAGCATGTGTCTGGGTTTGAAGAGGCATGGGGAGCAAACGTTAAATTCAAAGGAAACCGATCAAGAAAATATTATCTTGCCCAGGTATTTATGTACATCAAACTTTTTAACATTCTGTCACATTTCAACTACCCAATATGTTTTAATGGGCTTGATTATAATATACCAGAACAAAGTAGTGCATAATGTTAAAGTATTGGGAAAATTATTGTTTTGGAGGCGTTAGCATTGTGAAAACCAGTCCCTTGTTCTACCCTGGGCTCTAGGCTTTAGAGAGGCATTTTCCTTGCTGGAGGCACAGACTGTGTTGAAGTTTTACCCAATTGCAAACGTATGCCTGTGATGCATGCAACGCTCCAGTTTGACGCTATGATGCTTACCAGAAATTGTTTGTGCTGTAAACAGCCATCCTCCGATGCAAAGAGAGAAGTGCCGAACCAAAGGCTTTTAATGTTCAACATTCGGAAGCATTGCATTGCCAACACGAATCATTGCTAAAACTACAGGCAGACTGCAATTCTAAAACAATGACATCATCATTCTGTTCACTGATTGGCCTGGTAGAATATGATGAATTCAAGTGAATGGGTGAAAGCCCTGAATGTCTGTGAAGCAACATTTTAGCCAGGCTGTGTATTTCTTTAAAAAACTTGTACAAGTCTTTGTGTACCTTTGTAATCTCTCTCTCTCTTTTTCCACTATAATAGGTTTGAAAAACCAGTGCCACCACTTGTCTTCAGAAGTCATGTAATCAGTAAACAGAGTCCACTTGTGTGTACTTTAATCTGATGATAAATGTAGCTGTTCTGCAAACACTTGTGAGCAAACAGCATCATGAAGACCAGGAAACACATCAAACAGACTGAGGATGATGTGGGAAAATTCAAAGCATTGTCATAAAACAATATTTCACACTCTGAACAATCTTTCAGAGCACCGACCAATCCATCATCCTTAATTACTCTGGGCATTAAACAGCGAAGCAGCCTAGAGGCCCATGGGAACTCTGGAGAAGCTTCATGGAAACACAGCGGGAGAATGTTTTTGAATATCTGATCTGAAAAAGTATGTTGAAAGGAAATCAGAAGAAATCAAATTCAAAGATGGCACAAA